AAGGGGGGGGGGGGGGGTGAGCGGTGATTGCCCACACAAGCTGGTGGCAGCTTTAGTGGCAGCCAGTCTCAGGGGGAGCACGTGCCCCCCCATGCCTCCCCTACACGTTGCCTATGGTTTTTAAATACCTGAAAGGTGGTTAAAAAGAGGATGTTGCTAGACTATTCTCTGTGGCTGCAGGGGACAGAACAAGGAGTAATGCTTTTAATATGCAACACAGGAAATTTAGGTTGGATATTAGGAAGAATTACAAGAGTGGTTAAACATTGGAGCAGATTATCTAGAGTGGTTGTAGAATCTTCATTCTTGGAAGTTTTTAAGAGCAGGGCAATCCTGCCTTGAGTAGGGTGTTGGATTAGATGACCTCCCAAGGTCCCCTCCAGCCCTACTTTTCTATGATTCTATAAAAGGAAAGCATTATCAAGAGATCTTCTGTCGGATTTTATTACGGGGCTTACATCAAGTCATTTTTATATGCATATTATACCTTACATGAGTGGTGGCAAGCTGAGGCCCAGAATGACTTGTAGTCTTTCAGTAAAAGAAGAAAATTGGCATATAAAATTATATATAGAAGGTCCTCTCAGATAAACAGGTTCAGTGAGAATTAAATGTATCTCACTGTAAAAACTCCACAGTGATATAGCAAAAGTGATAATGATGCTATTATGGTAGTGTAAAAACTGGTATAAAGTATCACAAAGTAAGAAAAATTAGAACAAATAAAAATAAAAATAGTGAATGACTTCGATAGGTCAGTCAGTATTTATTTTTGTTGGAGTGTATAAAAGCCTTTTTGTAGGGAGTTTTGTCCATGAATATACTTAATAAAGGAAGAGTACAAAACGCCTTGGGTTTTTTGGGTTATTGTCCGTAAAGTTTGGGAAGCTACAAGGAAGGGGGTACTTGAGGTGCTCTGACTTAGTGTTCCACCTCACTTAATGAATATTTACTGTGAAAAGTTTCCTTCATGAACGCTTTAATTTGTAAACATATTCCTAATATTAATTCATTTGTATCTCACAAAGAATTTATAATAAAACAAAACATCTACTCAAAATTAAAAAAACATGAAATTGAACTATTCCTTCTCATCATAATTTGTTCTTCCATGATTTCATGCAAACCACTCAGCTATAACCCAGTAATTAAAGTCATGTTCCTGCTGTTCTTAATCAGGCAAAATGTGCAGTGTTATCAATGGAAGTTTCTTCTGAGTAAAAATCACTGTTTAACTTAGCATGGGATTCAGTGTCAATCAGCACATTTCTTGTGTGGGAAGAAAATTCATGTTTTAGAGCCACTGCTGTTGGACTTACTGTAACACATTTCTAAAAGAAGGAAATACAGTGCCTTACCTTCACTGCCCTTTTTGGTGTTTCAGCCAAAATAGGAGGAAGTATGCCTTTGTAGAACCCAAATAACCTATTTAAAAAACAAACAAAAGATTTTGTACGTAAGCATTAGACAGCATATTTTCATTTCTGGGTAAGGCAACTAATCTCAGAGCATTCCCAATAATTCAGAACAACTCTCATGGTCAATAAAGAAGCACTATTTTTTGTCATGTAGCTACCAGTTCCACTGCATGCTGGTGGAACAACTGTCAGCAGCAATGCTAACACTAGAAAAGTGCATTCTGTGAGGAACCTGATCCAATAGGTGGGCATTAGATAAGCTATAATGTCTTCCAGTCCAGGGAAGTTAAACAGAGAACACTTAATTTGGGCATCTTGATTAGTTAGATACTGCATTTTGTTTTGCCATTTAATTTGGGGTAGAAAAAGAATGAAAGTGAGTGGCAAGTCTTGATAGAGTTAACACAGTAAGAGAATAAAAAAAGAAGAAATTGAAATGACCGAGATTTGAATCTGATCCACTGCTCAAACTGCAGTCAGTTGGCAGAGTTTTGTCTAATGTACAGTAGGCACACCTACATGTGCACTTTCCTGCGCAGTTGACTAATTAGCTCCACAGTAAAGCATCACAGTCTACATGTATGCTCATTTTAGGGCACAGTAAACTATTTAACTCCGTCATAGGATAGTTAAGTAGGATATTTAGGTAAGAATTCATATGGTGGAGTACTTACATGCACTCAAAAGCACATTTAGACTGACTGGGGCACACGGATGCTACAGTGAGGGGGCTTCCTGCTGGCCAGCCTCACACTGTAATACCCTTGTGCCCCAGCCAGCCCCTCTGCTGCCTGACACTGGCATCTGGGGCCTAGGGCTGGTCCCCCAGGGCTTCCTGCTCCAAGTCAGCTGCTCCCAGGCACAGCATCTTCACGTGCACCCAGAACTGCCTCAGCTCAAATTGCTGCAGTCCCAGGCACACATAAATACACTGCACCTGGGAGCAGCTGACTTCAGCGCAGACTGCACTAAAGTTTATTCAGGCACATTAATATTATGTGCAGATGCACCCAGTCTGTCTCAGAAACTTTAATGTCTGAGATGAAGATAATGAAATCAGTTACTTTTTTCCAGTAATGCCTTACAACCAATGCACTTAAAATGTACAATCATGTAAAACCTCAAGTATTTCATCTGCAAAAACTCAAAACACTAATGTGTTGATAATGGAAATGTGGGTGGTTCTAAAACCAGCAAGAAACAATAAACGCATGTGTGGATGTAAGGATTTTATTTTTTATCCTTTTCTTTTTCCTTGATCAATAACACTGCATCAGTCCATTTATACATGGTATGTGAAATCTTTCAAAGCCATTAATTGACTAGTGACATGTAACAGTTAAAGATGTTATCGCCTGGATTTAGATTTTCATCAAAAAACTTGTGCTCAGCAAAATTATAGAGCTGCAACAATAATCACTGAAGCATGCAACAGAAGAGGGAGGAAGTGACATCAGATCCACAGTTTGGAGAAATTGGAAAGAATTAACAAGTAAATCTCTAACAGAAACACAACTTCAACATTTTATTTTGCTTTAGCATTAAAGATCTAAATGAACATCACCATTCAATTGTATTCTGGGCAACAGCCCAAACTCATCTTTGGAATAGTTGATTTTGAAACATTACAGTCAATCATATCTTCTCAATTTGTTCTTCTTTCAGGCTTTAGGCATCCTTCTGGTTTCCATTTCTTGTTTGGAAGCCTTGAGTCATCCATCCTGGCAATATGACCAACCCAAATCAGTTATTTTCTCCAAATTATATTGACATTGGGATCTTGCTTAGTTTGTTGTTTTCTTCCCCTGTCTTCCACATAATTTTCCCTTTAAGGATCTAATACAAAGCTGATTGAAGGCATGCATACAATATTCTCTTTCTTCTACTGCTGTCAAATCCAAGTCTCTTATCCACATAGTTCTGTAATTGAAACAATGACACTAAATACCTTTAGGGCCCTATTCTGCCTTTACTTCCGCAGCACAATCCCAGAATTTAAAAGAAAGACCAGGGTTTCATGGCTCTGTTATTTTGGTTATATGGATTTGGTAATGTGAATTCATAAAATCAAAGGCACCCTGAGGACATATTCATTTATGTGGGATGGGGAGAGAATCATTTAGTAATGGAAAAAAGCATTTTCAAATGTGGTAAAAATTACCTACATCTTTACCCTCTATAGGAATCAAAGTATGGTCCTACTGTGTGCAAGCCAACATGTTAAGAGTTTGTTACTAACGCAAGGTAGTATTCTACTGAAAACAAGGCACCTGTATTTTTAACACGAGTGAGCAGTTTGAGGTAAATTCTAGGAAGCCTGATGGCTTGACAATGGACTGTTAATACTTGTAGAGATTACATGTTACATGTTACCATATGATCACTAACATGAGGTAAAAGCAAACATTTAGCCTAATAAGGATGCATCCTAGATTTGTCTTTTTTAAATGTCAAAACCAGTTTAACAGAGTAAAGCTTTCACTGACACATGGGCTAGGTACAGATATTCAAAAAGCCCCTGGTGTAAGCACTCTGGGTGCAGACAGAAATGCAGCTCCCTGGTCTAACACATGGCACTTTGCAAAAACGCCATGAGTTAGACGGATCCTCCTGAGCTAACAGACATTAGCTGCTGTGTCGGGAGGGTGGAGGGAGCTGATTCAGAGAGAGAGGGTGCATGTATGCACCCTCTCTCCCTTAACTCTGCCCCTCCCCTTGTAGCTCTGGTGCTGTCTCAGGATGGGTAGGGAGCAGGCTGGGAAGGGAGGTCCATTCTGGAGGTTCCCCAGCCAAACTGGAGTGGGAGGGAGAGTGGATTGGAGCCCCCCCCCAACCAGGGTAGGGAGGGAGCAAATCCATCCTCCCCCACACTCCAGCATGGCTGGGGAATCCCCAGAAAAAACTTATCTCCCCTCTCCCATTCTGTAAACACTGCTAGGAGCAGGGCTGGGTGGCATCAGCTGAGCGTTGCTCCTGGTGTATGCAGGCACAAATTAATGAAGCCACTCCATTTTGGAGTGCCTTCAGCTGAACCCCCATGCAATGAGGGTTCAGATTGTCATGACATTGGCCTTTTAAAGTGCTCTGCAGCCATGCATTTGTGTTTGGTCAGGGCTGTAGACCTCTTTCTGGGGCCAGATTGGACAGAAATTGGCATGTTTGTGCCTTCTAACTTACCACACTTTACTCAGAGTGCAATAAGTTAAAGAGCCAAATAAACAAGTGTTCTCTATTCAGTGGAGGGAACTTGCAGCCTGCTCACACTGGCCACTGGGGGTGCTCCCACATGCCTCCTAGGAGGATGCTAGAGTGGCCCCTCTCCCCAGCTTCACCCCATCCCCCTGCCAGCTGGGGGGAAAAACAGGAGAGTAACAGAGCCCCCCCCCCCCGGTGAGGGCTCTCCTGCAACTTGTTGGCGAGGGTTTGAGGTGGGGATCAGGCTGGGTCTGCATGGGGAGGGCTCCCTTCCACCACCTCTTGAGAGCAACAACCAGCAGCTGCAGTGTGACTTCAGCTGGTCCCTAGCACCCTTCCCCTACAGCAGCCCTAGTCAGAGCTGCTGTGGGGACACAGACCCTGGAGTCCTTCTCCCACAGCCCCTCCTAGTCAAGCAGTGGTATGCTGCAATCTGGCCAGGGTGACTGCCAGGAGAGAGGTCCTGTACTCCTTTCCCCACAGCCCCACCACCTATGGCCAGCCTGGAAGGCACTATTGGGCCAGGGTGGCTGCAAGGGCAGAAACCCCCTTTTACCCATGCCACATCCCCCACTGCTAAGCTGTATGTGGGGCTGGGATCAGAAGCTGTCAGTGAAAGATGGTAGGGCAGGGCTGGCTCAGGCAAGTGCAGAGCAAATGGTCTCTGCCTAAGGCTAGAGTGCAGCCCTGTGCAACACCACTTTGGATAACGGCGATTGCGCTCAAAGGTAACTCTCAATGGGATCTGGCACAGAAGTTCAATAAAGCACTCCAGCAGAAAGTACTTTAGGTTAGTACATATCCATCCAGGGTTAACTTAGGATGAGATTTGCCATTTTTAAAGCATCTTATGTGCCATGTCTGTTCTGTGATGGCCGCAAAGTGCTTACTGCATGTTTAAAGCACACCAAGTCTAATGTCTGTATCTAGCCATGGTGCCCAGAGTTAGTGCTACTATATCTATCTCATAATTCCACAAACCAGGCAAGTAAAATTTCAGTACCAATAATCAATACTAAAGATACCAATAGTCAATACTACAGGCTAATAGATGTGTTTGCTAGCTTAAGTACCTTGGCATTTATTTGACCTTAGGACATTTTTCAGTGTACTATACATGCTTCCTTTCATCCAAATCCCTACCATTTGTAGGATATAGGAATGTAAAATAAAATTTGATTATAAGCAGCCATAAACAAGGTACTATAATGTTTTAATAGCTAACACAATCCTAACAGTAATACTATGAACACTGTGTTATGATTATATTTTTGAAATGGAACATATTACTTTTGTGGCATTTTTTCATTTTGGAAATATAGTTCAGAGCTCTGCATAATACAGGAAGAGCTTGAAAACTACATACTAGGTATGGAAAGGTGATATAATACCACTGCTGTAACCTTATAAAGGTATAGGAAACCAAGGTCCATAATACAAGAAACAGAGGAATCAATAGAAGTCAAAGAAATAATAGTGACAATGTATTGCATGAAAAAAGTGATCTCAGAGGGAGAGAGAATATCAATGAAATGTGCTTTTCAACTACTCCAGAAAAAATTCTGAGGAATTGGCTCAGAAACCACTGGATTAGCCAACAAATAGATTAATAATCAGCATCCATTTATTTAATTTATTCAGAATCACAGTCATCATAATATTTACAGCATATGGGTCATATTATGAAGTTATTGTGAGCCATCGTCCACGTGACTGTTATTCTTGCACAGAAACCAATCTATCTTCCATGATTTTTAATCCCTTTCAACCTTTTATTCAAAACCATTGTTAATTTTTGGCTCTGAATTTAAT